CACCCTAGTTCCACCATCAGTCAGTCTGAAGTTAGTCACTACCACCCTAGTTCCACCATCAGTCAGTCTGAAGTTAGTCACTACCACCCTAGTTCCACCATCAGTCAGTCTGAAGATAGTCACTACCACCCTAGTTCCACCATCAGTCAGTCTGAAGTTAGTCACTACCACCCTAGTTCCACCATCAGTCAGTCTGAAGTTAGTCACTACCACCCTAGTTCCACCATCAGTCAGTCTGAAGTTAGTCACTACCACCCTAGTTCCACCATCAGTCAGTCTGAAGTTAGTCACTACCACCCTAGTTCCACCATCAGTCAGTCTGAAGTTAGTCACTACCACCCTAGTTCCACCATCAGTCAGTCTGAAGTTAGTCACTACCACCCTAGTTCCACCATCAGTCAGTCTGAAGTTAGTCACTACCACCCTAGTTCCACCATCAGTCAGTCTGAAGTTAGTCACTACCACCCTAGTTCCACCATCAGTCAGTCTGAAGTTAGTCACTACCACCCTAGTTCCACCATCAGTCAGTCTGAAGTTAGTCACTACCACCCTAGTTCCACCATCAGTCAGTCTGAAGTTAGTCACTACCACCCTAGTTCCACCATCAGTCAGTCTGAAGTTAGTCACTACCACCCTAGTTCCACCATCAGTCAGTCTGAAGTTAGTCACTACCACCCTAGTTCCACCATCAGTCAGTCTGAAGTTAGTCACTACCACCCTAGTTCCACCATCAGTCAGTCTGAAGTTAGTCACTACCACCCTAGTTCCACCATCAGTCAGTCTGAAGTTAGTCACTACCACCCTAGTTCCACCATCAGTCAGTCTGAAGTTAGTCACTACCACCCTAGTTCCACCATCAGTCAGTCTGAAGTTAGTCACTACCACCCTAGTTCCACCATCAGTCAGTCTGAAGTTAGTCACTACCACCCTAGTTCCACCATCAGTCAGTCTGAAGTTAGTCACTACCACCCTAGTTCCACCATCAGTCAGTCTGAAGTTAGTCACTACCACCCTAGTTCCACCACAGTGAAAGCAGGATTAATGAACGAATAGTGTGACATTGGGTTCTCAACCATGGAAATTTAGAAGTCCCTACATGCTGTTCTTTCTGGCTCCATGTGCTAGTTAGGGGTCTGAGGTATCCGAAAAATCATGTTTTGAGTACCCAAAGTGTTCTGGGTGCCAGGAATGAGGTTATTAAAGCGGCGAAAATGACCGATTTTGGACTATTTATGAGCTTTTTTGCCCATTTTCATGAGATAAAGAATCAGGAAAGCTGCTCTAGATGATTGAAATGGTTGATACCAATGAGGATACACCCAACACACATAAATATTCGTGATATATGTGATTTTAATGAGAAAAATATGATCTCAGGGCCCATTTTATACCAAAATTTGTCAAAACCACTTGCACTTGTCAAAGCTTCCTCATTTTAGACACATTTAATGATTATTATGGTATCTAACTTATGGTGGATCTGATAGGAGTATGTCTTAGCTTCATTTTAAGCCATCAATGAGCATGCTGGTGTGTATGAAAGTACTTTTATCCTCCCGTGGCCGTCCATTGATATAGTCTGGGCCATGCGCGCGCGCGCTTTTACAAACATGAATTTTCTCCCTCAGTATCTATCTAAATCTTTTAAAGACATGATTTGAATGCTATCCTACTCAGCACATGAGTGCTACAGGATGGTGAAAGAATTTCTATAAAAAATCGTTAAATGTGGAAGATATGAGGTCATTATATGTGTGTGCGCGCGCGCGCGCGCGCGCGCTTTTACAAACTTGATATCCTCAGTCCTTTCACATATACTGAGATTTTGTTTCAAACTTAATTGACTCTGAACCGAAATTGCCAAAGGAAACAGATAGTGTAACTCAGAAAGACCACAAATGTATAGTTTGTGAGATATTGAGGTTATACTTATATAATTTACAATGATGTCACACCAGAAAACCTCTATTTTTGGTATATTTAACCTCATATCTCGAACGCGCAGTACTGGATTGAGCTAAACTTGGTCAGGTTTTGTAGCCCTGACTATCCTCGATCATATGGAACAGGAATAAAACTGTTTAGATGTTCTATCTTAATTATATTAGGCACTTAGTTCTGAAAAGTGAGAATGTCATTAATACTGCTTTCACTGACCATCAGTCAGTCTGAAGTTAGTCACTACCACCCTAGTTCCACCATCAGTCAGTCTGAAGTTAGTCACTACCACCCTAGTTCCACCATCAGTCAGTCTGAAGTTAGTCACTACCACCCTAGTTCCACCATCAGTCAGTCTGAAGTTTTCCTATCAAATTTCAAGTTCCACAAATATCTACACTGCACGGTACTAGTCAAACTTTGAACCATCCCAAAAGTTCAAAACAAAGCCCCACCAATCACAGGACTAGATATAAGTCACGTGATCTACATTTACCAGTAGGGGGAGTAGGTCCGCATTGAGCACGGAGGTTCGGTGTGCCAACATGAGATAGTGAGACGAGACCCAGTTTTAATGACTAACGCACACGTGGTTTAAACACGTGGCACAAGTTTTAACACGTGGGCTGGTTTTCTGACACGTGGGCTGGTTTTCTGACACGTGATCAGGATTTGAGAGCTGACTAGAGGTTTTTAAGTAAAGCTATTCATTGTAACACTAGATTAATAATTAATAGTTCATTCGCGGAGATGAAGATCTTAAAACTTCACATCTGTGGCTGTTAGATGTAGAATAGTTATACTGAACTAAAAATAATTTCAGGTGCAGTTCACATTTTGCTCCTGATACCTATTCCTTCATTATACTTTAAAGCAATGTAATATAACAAACCAACAACTGAAGAGCAAACAGATCAATAGGGGTAAAATGTTTACCTTTCTACGAACAAGCAGAATAACACGCGCTAACGAACAAGCCGGGTAGGTTGAAATATGTTTATTTGTACGAGAATTCGATTGTCAAGCAATCCTTAAGATTGAAAGATTGAAGAGGACCTCACAGTTGTATGCAAATTACAGTTTATGATGAAGGGGGGCCCAACAGTCAGTACCAAAACGTTCGGGTAGTGAATTTTAAGCCCCCCTGTATTAGTCATAATACCCTACAAAGGAGGTAAAGTTAACATGTCTAGGGGATTTTGTGACGGTAACATTACCATATAAGGTCATTTTGTCAGGGTTACACTACCATATAAGGTAATTTTGTCAGGATAACATTACCATATTATTATTATTATTAAGCAATATTCTGGAAACATATAGGTGATACGACATATTGTTGTTTTCAGAAGCTCTTAAGTAACATATGTTAATTGCCTTACGTTAACATAATATTGTGATAACTGCGTTGTTTAATGTTTATGAGCAATATGTTAGAAATAAGATGGTCACTTCAAAGATAAAGCAAACTAATTTGCGGCTAATGACCGTTAAAATACCGGCTAATGACCGTTAAGATACCGGCTAATGACCGTTAAGATACCGGCTAATGACCGTTAAGATACCGGCTAATGACCGTTAAAATACCGGCTAATGACCGTTAAGATACCGGCTAATGACCGTTAAGATACCGGCTAATGACCGTTAAGATACCAGCTAATGACCGTTAAGATACCGGCTAATGACCGTTAAGATACCGGCTAATGACCGTCAAGATACCGGCTAATGACCGTTAAGATACCGGCTAATGACCGTCAAGATACCGGCTAATGACCGTTAAGATACCGGCTAATGACCGTTAAAATACCGGCTAATGACCGTTAAGATACCGGCTAATGACCGTTAAGATACCGGCTAATGACCGTTAAGATACCGGCTAATGACCGTTAAGATACCGGCTAATGACCGTTAAGATACCGGCTAATGACCGTTAAGATACCGGCTAATGACCGTTAAGATACCGGCTAATGACCGTTAAGATACCGGCTAATGACCGTTAAGATACCGGCTAATGACCGTTAAGATACCGGCTAATGACCGTTAAGATACCGGCTAATGACCGTTAAGATACCGGCTAATGACCGTTAAGATACCGGCTAATGACCGTTAAGATACCGGCTAATGAACGTTAAGATACCGGCTAATGACCGTTAAGATACCGGCTAATGACCGTTAAGATACCGGCTAATGACCGTTAAGATACCGGCTAATGACCGTTAAGATACCGGCTAATGACCGTTAAGATACCGGCTAATGACCGTTACAGAGCCGCCAAAGAGTAAGAGTAAGTATATGGGTAGAAGGTATTTTGAATCTAGTAGAATTCAGAATATATTGTGTTGCATATTGTATAACACCAAACACGTATTTCACGCACACTGGAAAATTTACATTCTAGTGTAATATCTTTTCCAATATAATATTTATAATCAATACCAGAAAAACTAGAATTAAAATAATAATGATACATAAACAGGAAAACAAAAAGTTACACGATGCATTGCGATGTAACGATGAAACTAGATTTTAGAGGAACAAAACAGATTTTGTTCTGCTAAGTAATTTAGATGATTAAATTATTTATAATTTATTGTTCATTGGTGTGCTTAATTTCGCGCTTTGCTTATGAAATAATGAAAATTTTACATAGTTTTCGTTTATAGTGCATGATATATAATTTTAACCTTATCAATATATTATAATAATTATATCGATATTGAATAAATTAGATATAAAGATATGAAATATGAATAGATATAAATAAGATAATGAACGTTTATAAATTGCATTTCTTAATAGTGCGATATATTACTGTATAATTGTTATCATTATATTAATTTTATATTAGTTATATTAATTTTATATGATACATTAATACAATATTATATATTGGAACAACGATGGTAACTATAGATCAATGACAGCAATGTTAGCAACGAACAACATGTCAACCCAAACAAACCAACTTAATAACATAACTAATTATAACAATTTTACATGACAACTAAATAAACAAATGTTGTACAGCTGTTCAAATAACGGCACAAAACCACCAATCTTACCTTGCTGCCTCGCATCGCCGCTACTAGGGACCTCATCGGTAGCTCCTCATCGCTCGACGTACTGAAACACGTTTTTATAACGTTCTTAAAGAGAAGACAAAGTTACATGAGCGATCTAAAACACAAGGAAATGTTGTGTAAATTAGGAAAATTACAGATGAGAAAAGAGATAAAGTCGTTTTTAAATATGGACACTTGAAGTCGAGGCACGATTTATTTAGGTGCTGCATCACGAGAACGGTTTACTTTTAGAGTCAGGTGAACTTCTAGCGATAAAGTTTGTTAGATACTCAATTAAGAAAGACGATTGAGTAAGCTGTTAGATTTATAAAACTTTAACTCCTCAGATTCTATCAATTAATGTTTAACGTACACTAAATAATAGTATATATTACCAAACTTATGGTGCAGATCAATACATGTTTATACAAATTATTATTAAAACTGAAATGTAGTTTTGTATGAACGAGTAACGACACCAAATACACTACTTTGAAAATAAGTTCATAAACTTTATACTTGTCTACAAACTTATTTTCAGTTTTTATATAAATAAATTAAAAACTGACGTCCCCTCGTCGGGCCAGCGCTTATCCCGGAGCAGCCAGCTACTGTTCAAGCCCGAACTTTCAGCAGCAACATCCCTTACACCCGATGTACGATACGTAACGGACATACTTTGTCACTGTTTGGAACGAATTTAGCTTTCATTTTAGACTTCACGTCTCCCGAAATAAAACTGCGAACAAAGTGAAACAAGGAACTAAGTAAACTTATAAAGTCCAATGAGTGACGAAAATTTGGTTTTACAGTTTACTTAGTTCCTTGTTTCACTTTGTTCGCAGTTTTATTTCGGGAGACGTGAAGTCTAAAATGAAAGCTAAATTCGTCTCAAACTCACGCTCAGCCTTAAGATCTATTTACTGTTTGGAAAACATTCTCAGGTGGCTAGATGTGAAACGTATATATATAGATATAAGATAAGATAAGAAGATAAGATGGTATAGATCTATTAGAGTTAGACTGATTACACACGTCTCTATCTAAGCAGTGCTAAATGAAAACGATGAGCAATTCATAAAAAGCGGGTGAAAAGGGGGGAAATTATCCAGAAAAGGTAAAAACTAAACCCCCTTATTAATGGGAGCATTTCTTTAAAAAAGGTAGGGCATCTCAAACAGTTTGGTAAGAAAGACGAACACAGAAAACTAGGAGCATTTCACAGCGGTAAAAAGACTGCATACAATCTGACTGTCATTTTATACACACTAAAAAGTAAACACAACAGCACAAAGGCAAGCGTTTGTTATTTTAGGGTTTAACATAATATACGATCATAATATTCACATACATATTATTATCTTATTAGATTAGACCGGTGAAGAAATCGTAAGTGAATTACATTAAAGTTAAACGATCGATATTATAATGAATAATTGCTCGCAAACTGCTGTATTATAAGACACAGATCCGATGTCGGCAAACAAACGAACAAACAAACAAACAAACAAAAGTTTGATAGTTGGGGACGAAAAAACGAAAGGTTAAACAAGAGACTCTAAAAGAAGTAGTCAAAGAAAAGGGTAGGAAACAGGGCATAGCTGGTTGGTGTAGGTTGGAAGACATTACTGATATCTCTAATTAGATTTCATGACTGCGTTATTTACGTTACATAACAAATATAAGGTGTGACGTCACAGTTATGGGATTCCATTACAAAAGTGTCCCAAGTACACTGAAATAGAACAGGGTCGGTTTATTTTCTCCCCAAAATCTGGATATTATCGTGTGGATATTTTATGGTTTTTGGTACAAGTGTATGTTTTAAAGTAGATAGGAGATAAATTGATATTTAAGCGCAAAAAAACGGAGCAATGAAAATATTGCATCCATGTAATAATTTCCTGAAATGGGCTGTTTCTTGTGTGAGGTAATTAATTCAATATTTAGTAAAAAAAGAAGAAAATAAAATTGCTACCACTAAGCACACGACCTAAGATAGTTAACATCAGGAAATTAGGTTAAAAGTAAGTTATGTATAGGTTAACTAAAGCAGATAAATTAGGTTAAAAGTAAGTTATGTATAGGTTAACTAAAGCAGATAAACTAGGTTAAAAGTAAGTTATGTATAGGTTAACTAAAGCAAATAAACTAGGTTAAAAGTAAGTTATGTATAGGTTAACGAAAGCAAATAAATTAGGTTAAAAGTAAGTTATGTATAGGTTAACTAAAGCAGATAAACTAGGTTAAAAACTTAAGTTATGTATAGGTTAACTAAAGCAAATAAATTAGGTTAAAAGTAAGTTATGTATAGGTTAACTAAAGCAGATAAATTAGGTTAAAAGTAAGTTATGTATAGGTTAACTAAAGCAAATAAATTAGGTTAAAAGTAAGTTATGTATAGGTTAACTAAAGCAGATAAACTAGGTTAAAAGTAAGTTATGTATAGGTTAACTAAAGCAAATAAATTAGGTTAAAAGTAAGTTATGTATAGGTTAACTAAAGCAGATAAATTAGGTTAAAAGTAAGTTATGTATAGGTTAACTAAAGCAGATAAATTAGTATATCTAAGACAGCAGAGTTATATCACTTCTTACCACTGAAGATAACATATATCTTTGTGCTCTGTGCAGACTGTAGTACTACAATGACTAATTGATAAGGAGTCATTAGTCACGTTTCAACAACTTACGAATAAAACGTTCATAAAAACAATCATGTTATTAATATGATTAATTAATTAATTAGTTAATAATTACCTGGTGGTAGAACTGGCACTACCCCTTCTCGTTTTTTGGTTGTTTGGAGGGAGCAGCAATAGATTGTGGATGTCATTACTTTCACTGACCGGCGAGTGGC